ACACTATCAGCGACTACACATACAACACACTATCAGCGACTACACATACAACAACACACTATCAGCGACATACAACACACTATCAGCAACATACAACACACCTATCAGCGACATACAACACACTATCAGCGACTACACATACAACACACTATCAGCGACATACAACACACTATCAGCGACATACAACACACTATCAGCGACATAAGCCTCATTTTGACCGACAGAAAACCAGTCAAGATTCTCTTCTCCTATTCACTGAACACAATTCCCCCAACGACCGCTGCCGTCAGACGCTCACAACTCTTCCTTCCCCTGGTCCAGCGCAGACTTCCCTTCCCTCTCCCCTGACCCTACCCTCTCCTCCGCCCCTCCATCAGGTGGGGACATCTCCCCCTCGTCTCCCGCGCCTGCCTGCCCCACTTCCTGCTCGGCGGTGTCCCACTTTTCGATGACGACCGAGTCTTCTGTGTCAGAGAAGTAGTGAGGCTCCCCCGTGTAGTGGGTCGGGTACAGCAGGAACGGGTCGGCCGAGAGGCTCACCATATCCCGGGGCCAGAACTTGAGCCTCCAGCTGTCCCTGCGGGGGGTGGGGGGGGACCACACAGTTAGTTTTTGTTTTAGTGGAGGTTTTACGGCACTCGAAACTGCATAAGGTCATATGAGCGCCAAGGGGTGGATGTCAACAGAGAAGTCCTTATAGGGAATCAGGCTTACTCTGCTCACCTCTCTAGCTTCAACAGCACAAAGTCTGCTTCGACTATCAAGGCACCCCAGAAATAGCAGGTCACAAGAGAGTGACAAACATACAAAAGAAGTAGAGTAAAAATGACGATAGTAAGGATTGGGAAAGAAAAAGCAGCTGTTCCCTGTTGTAGATCAGGCACAGTTATGAGCATGACACTGTTGGATCAGCCCATCTACTGTGCATGAGAACAAGAAATGTCCCCCTAAGGGAATGGCCTAAAGACACTTCAGTCAGTGGCACTGCCCCTAGGGTGGACACACGCAGACACTGTCACTTTACAGATACAGTAGGGGAGTTTCCGTGACAACGGCCAACTACACACAGAAATACAACAATACAACACACAACATACAACACACAAATACACACACAACATACAACACACAAACACACACACAACATACAAACACACAAATACACACACAACATACAACACACAAACACACACACAACATACACACACAAATACACACACAACATACAACACACAAACACACACACAACATACAACACACAAACACACACACAACATACAACACACAAACACACACACAACATACAACACA